TGACAGGCTGCCATTCAGTAGAAGGCCGGAGAGAAACAGACCTGGGAAGGTATAAAACTTAACTGTGTCTTCAATAAAATAGGAGCAAATAGGTCAATGATTAAAGGCTTCAGCAGCTAGAAATGGGGGTCATAAATACAGGCAATTGCTTTCATATTCACTTTTGCTCATTTAAGAACTGAAGAAATTCAGAGATTTCCTTCATGAAGTGATTGAATTGGACTAAGGCATCCAGCATTAGACACAGAGTTCAGTGTTTGAAAAATAATAAGATTACCAATTTTACAACCCAATCTATTTGTAAATGTATTCTCCCCCAATACATTAGCTATTTATTTAATTGTCCTATGAATATTTAATTTTTTTGAATAAATATCTCCTTAAAACTCACTCAAATTGAATCAGCATGCATTAAGAATATGTCAAATCCAAAAGTTTAAATTATGTTTTAAATAATAAATACAAATATGTTGGTGTTATCAAACATCACCAGGACCCTCATAATAACAGCAACAAACACCTAATCAAAAAGAATACAAGCAGTGTGCGTTTTAAAGTACAACCTGTACAACCAAATATTTAAATAACATTTAAATAATTTTGTTTTAATTTACAGATTGTGTTTTATCAGCAGATAAATAAAACCAAACTATCATTTATAATCTGTAAATTATCTGGGAAAACAGAATCATTTTATTTTGATGGTAACAAAAACACAATTTTATTATAAACGTCTCTAATCTAAAATTAAAATGAACCTGGATTTTTAATTAAGAGCCTATTACACCGAGTATGATTCAACATGCTACCACTCATTGTCTAAAAGATCAAATAAATAAGCTGAGTGGTGATTCAAATGATGAAGTGAGTCTCTTTCCTGCATGTTTTACATGTGGCTATAGTCGCTTCTCATTAATCACAATCGAGACATCAGAGACCTCCGTGTGTTTAGGGCGTGTTAAATGTCCACAAAGCCTTATTACCCTACAATAGAAGGAAAATCAGAACTGTGTTTTTGCTGAGTCACAAATAAATTAGCAAGCAATCACACCAGATTTAAAATAAAAACGAGAAATCACTTCTTCACAATCGTTAATTATTCATACTGGGCGATAAACTGATATGTATCCTCGTTTTAGCGCGTGAAGCCTAATCTCAGCGTCCCCCCTGCTCCTTGTTATCTCCATAACATCATGCATAGCAGCAGAATTGGCTAATCAGGAGAAGGCTATTACAAGAGCTGGAGTGTTGGAGATAATCATTATCAAGTCGGTACATAAGGCACTGACACCTGAAGAGGGTCGGCCATCAGACTGCAACCCTCCTGAAAGAAACAAACATCATTCAGATAAAACTGTGGCCATGGTTTTCTGGGTAAAAAAAGTTAAATCAATAAAAAAAAAGTTAAATCATTATTGGAAACAAAGGTTTTAAATATACATTTCTTACAATTTAAAATATTATTATTATCATTATTATTATTGTTATTATTATGTTCGATTGTTGTTTCTTTATTTTGTTGTTCTAACGAAACTAATACTGTCCGGGTTGAATATTGTATATTCCTCGCAAGGGGACCAGCAGTATAATTATTATTAATCGAATTAAAATCCAATATGTAATTTCTAATTTAATCTAAAACTAGACTGCTTTATTATAATCAATATTTATATTTGTTGGGCAGCAGTAACGTGAGTTCTTTGAGCCTAGAATTACACACATAGCTACATTTGGGTTTCCTAGTTAATTTATGGTAAAAATAATTAGATTACAGGCCTGCGTCTCTTTACGGTGCATGCTGACAGTGGAGCAGGCCCGCAGTGTTTGACCGTCTGCGGATAAATGTGGAGACAGGGCGGCGTCCTGCCACTTCTCCCCACAGGCTCCGTGTGTCAGAGCAGCACACTTGACATCACTGCGAAAACACCTCATTTATCAACTCGAGGCTCCGCAGCCATGAGCAAGAACTGAGAGGAGTCTAGGGGGAGAGAAAAGAGAAGTAAAAACAACAGGATTTTGTATTCTCGCACCTCCCTGACAACTCACTGAGACGATGGGATGGGAGACAGTAGCGCATGGTTTGGTTACTCCCTCTGATAAAACCGCATCTCCAGAATCTCTCTGGCTGTCAGGAATTTGATCCTAAAACTAGGAGCAGGCCGAGGCCATTAGACCTGCAGAGTGTGGCTGCATGCGTAAATATCATATCTAGCCAAAAAGAGCATTATTAAAGTAATAAAGAAACTTGGAAATGCATCCCAAAATCAGATGCAGGGATTTCTACTTATTTACATACATAAACACACATCTCAGACCATTGTTGTATCTACATTTAGAAATCCAGAGCAGCAGACATATTGTAGTCCCAGTAGAGACAACAGATCCAGCCATGTCTCAGTGGACTTAACTGCAGCCCTGCATGTATCAGCAGCTGCCGTACACAATGTGCTTCCTCCACAAAGACCCCTCAGTCATTTATATGGACCACACAAATACAAGTAAGTGTAGTGCATGCATCAGCAGCCAGGACAACATATAATAGCAACAATATGACATGTAATGCAATTGTGGAAGTAGTTAATTGTATTTGTGGCAATAAAGGAAGACATTATAGTAATCAGTGGTATAGTATAACAATTTAAAAATCAAAAGGCTAATCACAATAACAGTATGACTCAAAGTAAAGTAGTAGCATTTCAAGCTGGTGGTAGATTAAGTAAGCCATAATAACAAAACATTTAATATAAGCAGTTGTAGTGGTAATACATAATAAAGTAAAATAATGTTAGTTTCGTCAAGAATATTTTTTTAATTTTGCAACATGATACAAATAAAAAGACAATAAGAAACACTGTAGCCTATACTCACAACATAATACATACTTATTGTTAAATGTTGATTGCAGTTCTTCAGCTTCCATTAGAGACTTAGAAAAAAAAAGAAGGCCTATTTCCCCATGTAGTGTGCATTGTAATCGTATAATGCAGGGGTGGCAACATAACTTCGAAATATTTTTCAATATAGGAGTGAAATAGCGATTAATCGATGTGTTCAGCATTCTCTGTTTCCAGGGTCAGACTCGGTTAAAGTGGCTATCATTCAATATTATTTACAGGAGCCATGAATCTCCCTTGCAGACTGCCCCCATTGGCTTAGTATGACAGATACATAGTAAATGGTGGAGTACTCAGTAGTTGTTGAAGTATTAGTAATATGAATTCAATGCTGTGTTCCTCAGATCTCTCTGCTGCTCAGCTATCTCCCATCCAGACAATATGTAAACACACACATACCTGCTGAATGGTCGTGAGTGTGATAAACTATTTGTTAACCTCTGTGAACACGCACGAGGTAGCCCTGTAAATGAGTGAATGATTCAATTGACACCTCGCGCTACTTTTGATCACTTCACTCAGCACTATGTATATTCTGGCTGAACGAATCACCGCGGTTCAAAGCGAGCTGGAGAGTTTGTGCTCCTACACAGCTCAAGCCATCTGAATGAAAGCGTCTGACTTAAATAAACTAATTAGCCAGGGGATTTATTGATCGGTGTGGTGAACATATGAGAATAAACATCGAGGGAGACATTCGCTGGAATCAAGACATTTACTTTAGGAAATTAGAAATAGGTTACGCATAAATGAGGCTTAATTTCACAAGACAATTTTCCTAAACAGCTCTACACAACAATTAATATCCATTTATAATTGTAAATTAAGCCAGCAGTTGTCAATTCAAGTCATCTAAAATGGCATTGTGTTAAAAGCCCAATATAGTTGTTATTGTCAGCTAGTGGTGGAAGAAGTAGCCTATACTCGAAGTGAAAGTAGGAAAAGAAGAGTGTAACAATACTCCATTAAAATCTTGCCAAAATCTGCTTTATGTAAAATTATAGAGGTATTGATAGAACAATGTTTTATGCAGACAAACCCCAATTGCTATATTTTCAATATATATATTTTCTGTTGTTGTTGAATCATATTTGTAGATTTATTGATGTAGTTGGTCCAGCTTGGGGAATTCTAACTGCATTTTACCGTTAGGTAATTAATAGTGTAATAATTTATTCTGTTGAAATAACTGGCCATATATAATTATAATTGGGAAAGTGAAACATAAATATGGTGTAGTAAATTGTACAAATTAGGCGAAGTAAAACTATTATAAAATAAAATTGAAATTGACCTAAGTTAAGTAACAGTACAATACAATTGTATTTTACTAAACGCGAGTAATTTAGTACATTAATTTGGTTAAATTTCACTATTTAAATCAGCAGAATGTTTTGGGGAAATGGCAGTAACTTATTCAACTAAAATTGTAGAGAAAAACGAAAGCCTACAATACAGAAAGATGAAATACAAATATAGCTTAAGACTGGCGACCGATAGCCCTTTAGTTATTTTGTATAAACACATTTGATGAAATAAAAGCAAGACAAAAAATGAGGGGGTGGAGCTTCATCTGTCCAAAACACAACTGTCGAGCACTCACTTAAACCTGATTACCTTTGCAAATTATTATAGCTTTCAGACATGATCAAGTCTCTTTTCTTTCCTCTGTGTTTCTCGGAGTGATTGATTGGAGGAGTTTTAGGCTGGCACCCCCATCGTGTTTTCAGCCTCTCTCTCCTCTTGATTGGTCCTCCTCGTGCAGCCGTAGCCACGGAAGCGCCTCCTCTCATAAACCTCGTCAGACCGCACTAACGTTTCCCATTACTTCCAGGAGAAGCAGCAGCTCACTATTAGGAACTTTGAGTGCGACCTATGGCACACAAATAACAGGTATGTGCTGGAAAGCGACTTATGTCTCTTCTTTTTTCTTCTGACTGTCTTTTCTCCGATATGCCACAGAGCTGCTTTACACTTTTTACGCACAGGACCTATCATCATTTCGGGGTATTGTTTTATCGCTCCAGCCTACCTCTCGGCCCTTATCTGTTTTGGGTCTTATCAAACAGTTATCTCTTTTGCTGTGAAGACATATTGCGTTTTCTTTCCTATCTGTTATGTGTGTGTGTAGTTGTGTGCGTGTGTGGGAGGACAGAGATTTGACGGATCCAGTGCCTCTTAAAGCGCTTGATGGGAGTATGGCAGTCACTGCGTGTTTTATTGTAGATGATACGGAGCTAGTGAATGTACGGTCAAGTCTGTAGTCAGATAGTATTTTTTATGTTTAACTGTGGAAATGTAAGCTAGATTTTAAAATATGAAAACAAGCTGTGCATCAGAGGTATAGAACTTGACGAGTTTATATCAGATGTTTATAACTTTAAATCCAGTTGTCAATAACTTTGCAACACAAGAGTTTACTTTCTTCTAATTTACTACAATCCTAACGGTTCCAACTTGTTTCTGTTACAGGGTAGACTACTCCCTTACGATTTTTATTAACCCTTACGGTGTATGGAAAGTGCTCCTGGATGGACCTGGGCGAACACAGCTGGTCCATGGTCAAGCGAGAAGTATCCAGCAGCCCAGGGTCGCCGGCTGAGCAGACCTACCTGCCCGGGGACAGCAGGAGGGACGAGCTGAGGACACCTCCGATCGACCTTGACGTACTGGGGCACCGCCGCCCCGACGGCAGATCACTACACTCCTACGTTCATTTCGGACACCATAACAACACCCTGACCACTGTCGAGGACATCCCGCTGTTTACGGATTTAGACCAGGGCAGCAAACTCGTCCTCTCCAGCGGAGCGCACAAGGCGAGCTTGCTGGTGGATCCGAGCGACATGTACCAAACACTGGCCATCGCCGCGGCGCAGAGCCAGACTGGATATGATTCCTCCTCTGGTTATATGCACTCCAACCCCAACTCCCCGGTGTATGTGCCCAGCTCCCGGGTGGGCTCCATGATACCCAGCCTCTCTTACCTGCAGGCCAGCGGCTCTGCGCAGCCCAGCCATGCCGTCTCCAGCCACTCGGTCTGGTCGCAGTCCGCTCCGGAGAGCCCTTCATACAGCACCGGGAGCCCGCACGCCTCCAGTCGGTTCCACTACCCTCCAAGCCCGCCCATGAATAACGGGAACCTCAGGGACACCGGCTACGGTAACACGCTGAATGTGAGCAGCAGGGATCAGTACGGCCTCTCTCGGCCCCTCAGTGGGACCTACGCGAGCCCATACTCTCCTTATGTTGCACCGCAGCTGACCCAGCTGCCCTCGCCCTGGACCGGGGGACCTTTTGATAACACCATGCTGCACACCCTGCAGAGCAGAGGCGCGCCCCTGATCCGAGGACCCAATGGAGGTAAGAATAGAGGAGGACATATTTGATGGAGTAATGCTGTCAGAGATAATGATTTCCTTTCAGACATGCTCATGTTTTTATGAAAATAACTGAAACTCCAGTGCACACACAACCAGATCTCATAGAGGCAAGAGGTCCAAAAGGGCATGTGCATGATAATACGCTAGTGAAAAACAGGCATGTTGTTGTGCGTATAGGCCCATAACTGACATTATGTGTAACCAAATAATTAAACTAAATTAAACTAAACATTTAAAAAATCTAAATTCCCAAAAACATAAATGTAAGCTGCCAGGAGAATGTATTTATAACATGACATCCATGGATCTGATTTAATTTGTTTAAATGTGCTCATGAATGTCAGTCACACAGTCCCTTGGGAAGACACTCAGTGGGCAATTTTCTTAAAACGTTTTTCTGATGTAAGCCTTCTTTTAAATTACAGATATTCTGGACGACATGGGGGAGAGCAGAGAATGCGTAAACTGCGGCTCCATTTCCACGCCGCTGTGGAGGCGCGACGGCACGGGCCACTTTCTCTGCAACGCCTGCGGCCTTTACAGCAAAATGAATGGGCTGAGCCGGCCATTAATTAAACCACAGAAACGGACGGTAAGCACTTAACCGCTCAATGTCCTGCCTAATCATTCAAACAATGGCTGGAGGTTATCGCCATTGTGTCTGATCCAGAGCAGACATGTATGTAATATAGCTTTAGATCAGATAGATTTTTCTTTTAAATGTGGTAATTATATTTGTGATAGGTAGAATCAGGCGAAATCTAAAAATAATTAAGGACTTCACACCACATACGTTTGAAATGTTAGTTTTTGCTTACACAATTGTACCCACAAATATACATTTTTCAGCCAACAGTCAAACATTAATTGATTAGAATATTTGCCAAGGAAAATGTCTACAAGTAAATTCTCCATAATTTATTTTACATCAATTGAAGGTGGTTTCAATACAAATTGAACCATCTGCATTGAGACATTTGTTAACATATTAATCAAACACTCAGTCTGTCACATTGCTTCTGCTCGGTAAATTAATGTGAATGGGTGTGAAAAGGGCTAATCGTTTCCTGGTGCCATTACGTGCATTACGCACAGTTTTACTAGGAAATCTGATGTCTCATAAAGACTCCTTGAAAATACACACCTTTAAAAAGCCGTGCGTCAATGGAATTTAAATGAAGGGCCTATATTATTTTTAGGAAATAGGGTGCACGTGTTCTAATTGTTGTTAAAATAGTGGAGTGTGGCTTTCATTTTAAAACATTTTAAACTTTTACTTCAGGTGACATATTCCCAGTCTTCACAGGTCTATTAATATCATGCTTATCTCTGAAATTGGTTATAATAATTAATTGAATGTTACGATGTTATCATCAGTCAACTTCCAGAAGAATCGGCCTGTCCTGCGCTAACTGTCAAACCAGCACGACCACTTTGTGGCGCAGGAACGCGGAGGGAGAGCCAGTGTGTAACGCGTGTGGGCTCTACACAAAATTACACGGGGTGAGTGCAGATTTACTTTCACATTTATTTAAAACGTATTCTAATGCACTTTCATCAATCAAAGCATCCAGAATCAAAATATTAATTTGTCTCCAAATATGATCAAATCTGCAGGTACCTCGGCCTCTCGCCATGAAGAAAGAGGGGATCCAAACGAGAAAAAGAAAACCGAAGACCTTGAATAAATCCAAGGGATCCTCTGGTAAGTCTAATATAATGATTGCTCATAAATTTCATGGATAATTATAATCAACATATTGCTTTTTAAAACAATTTGTTCTTAACAATATATTTTATATCTATTCTTTTAGGAAATAACAACTCTGTCTCTATGACTCCCACATCCACATCTTCATCTAATTCCGAAGATTGCTCGAAAACCAGCTCTCCCCCCGGACAGGTGTCAGGGGTAAGACTTGATTTTATTCTCTTTATTTTGATACAATTTAATAAAATATGTCCTGCTCCATTTCAATTTAAAGAATCACATATTTGTATTGTATATGTATGATGTGGAATCATATTTTATTTTTAAATAACTTAATTCAAATATACCACAATTATAATATGCTATACTATATTATATAACGCTATACTCTACTCAACTATTCTATACTACAATTCACTTAAAAAGTAATTGTTGTCCTTGATGCATCCTCTGGGTTACATATGTGGAAGTTAATCAAATCTAGAGCATCAGCCAAAGCAGGTGTTTTGTTAAAAAGATCACATGCATATAGACTGATGCGTTGTGAAGCTGACTACTGCTTCTTTATGTGTCACCATGATATTACAGTGGGATGAGCTTCACATTGCTCAGAATCTGGTGCTTTTTGGGGAATCTCAGTCCAAAATGTAAACATGAGTCATATACCAAATGATGCCTTTTTCTTTGTAACTGCTTTGAAAATACAATGAGGCTAACAATGCATATTTGCTTTGCTGCAGGTCAGTTCGTCTGTGCTGTCCAGCTCAGGGGAGGGACCCGGCTCCGGCTCAGCGGTGAAGTACCCGGGACAGGACAGCCTGTACACCAGCGTGGGGCTGTCCCAGTCCTCAGACGTAGCTTCAGTGAGGGGGGAACCCTGGTGCCCCATGGCCTTAGCTTGAACATTTAAATCTTTGGGAGGACAGCAATCCCCAGCCCCCTTTGTCTGGATGCTATGTAGTGTGGAAGTATTCGGGGGGCAATGTTTGTTTCCTGGCTGATGCAAGGAGTCCGGCAGAAGGGAAAATAATGGAGAAGCGACCTTCAGTCACACTGCAAGCTTGAACCGAGCGTGGAATAGCTGGGATTGTTTTCCAGGTTGGTGTGGGGGATCTTGTTGCCTTAAGAAAACAAAGGGAATCACCAGGCCAGATGATCAATCAGGTGGCCTGCTTCGGAGGGTCTCTGGACCTGCCATGCACTCGTATCTCTCCACCCACCATGGCACAGAACCAGCTCTCGTTTCTTAAAATAAAGCCATCATGTACATACTGGATTTCCTCTCTGAAGAAAAAAGCTGTTGATTGGATACCACTGCTTCGTAAAGCGCTATATTCTTTAAGGACTTTTAGATTTTTTGTTTTTGTTTTCTTTCCTAAACTGGAATCATGCCACAAGTGCCAAGACAACTTTTATGAATCAAAAGAAAAAAAATATTTATAAATCTTCCATTGTTGAAAACATGGCTATGATTGTTAATAAAGATATCAATATAGAGTAGAAGTTAAACCATTCTGATGTCTTTTTTCTAATTTTATTTTCTTCATAAGTGGTTGTTTGTAGTACAGTAGTGTTGCACATGTTTTCCACTGAAAGCTCTTACTGTATTTGACTGAAACTAGTTTGGTTTAAACAGGGTATAAATGACTATGTCGTCAAGTGGTTTTGTTTGATCATTTACTGAAAAAAATGCAAATAATCAACTCTTTCAGACTAATTTCTGATACTGAAATGTTGTCAGCTGTTGGGTAGCATTAAGGTACTATTCTGAAAGCAAAGCTACACAAATGATTTTACATGTAAAGCAGTCGGATGGCTTGTTTGAACAAAGCACACCCAGAATAGCTGTGGGGCCTACTGACCTTTATGTTACAAGACATAAACTGCAGATGAAGACTGTTGGCTGCACTACCTGACTCACTATAAACTGTGTACCTTTCACAATGCAAGCATGTACAATTGCATCATTTTATACCAAAATTAGAGCAAAGCGGAGCATGAGGTCACTTCTGAACAAATTCATGTTACTCTGAAGACTTTGAATAATGGAGTGCAATGACTCAGGAGGATATCATATTGAGGTGTTAAAGTGGACCGTGTAAAGTACGAGAAGCTAGTGAGTTATTACAATGCAATATTTTCATCAGAATACAAGCTCATGTTGGTATTGATTTTGACCACAGATGCATGGGTCACATGCTAAATGGAAATTCAAGAGGTTATTTTAAATTTTCCACACTGTTTTTCTCCAGCCGTGTTGTGTTGGTGGATTAAAAAAAGCCATTTTAGCCCATAACACAATCATGGGTCTTTCGAAAGGCAATCTGATGAGATACATGTGAAACTTGGCGTAAAGAGGTTGATTCCTTATCTTTTCTTTTTTTTCTAGCAAAACTTGCTTCATCCAAAAAGGGCATGTCATTCATTTAATTCTTCTGAATTTATTTTTTTGAAATATGTTTATTTTAGCATCATGTTTTGCTGTTTTTATTTTTTATAACAAATTATTCTATTTAAATTTCAGTCCAATAAATTGTTCTCGTGATGCAAATGATTTACGGTTACCCTGTGTTTTAAAGTAAATAATCGAAGCTGTGGAAGAAACCTTGTTCTTGCATAATATTAATATTACTCAGGCATACTTTTGTGAGGCAATCAGAGACATGCTTTAACTCCCTTTTTCTCCCTGGTGGAAAAAAAAACTGGCTTTATTTTCTCAGATGTTTTCGTGATTCGGAGTGAAGCACACAGAAAAAAAAACTGGCTAATGCAAGGTGAGGATTTCTTGGGGGGGGAAATAACGTTTTAAAAGCTTCATCTCAGACCTATAAAATGATTGTTGCAGATTTTGATGTCCAGGTTTTTCTGGGTTTGCTTCCACGTTCTGCTTATGTTTCATTAAAGCAAGCCTTTATTCTTCCGGACAGCTTTTTACTTACGATTTTTTTTTTCTCTACGGGCCCCAGAAGGCTCAAAGCACAATCCACTTTCCTGTGTCCTCTTGAACCAGCAGCTCAAAGTACCTGTCACAATGTTTACTGTACTTAAGCGAATATGGCTTGTGAGTAATACCACATGAAAAGATTTTAGAAATGGTTAAGATTTATGTCTAGGCTTAGACTGTCTGCTCTTGACAAATTGATTTAGCTGACTTTATTGAGTGTAGAGGAATGTGCTACACAACACAACAGCCACATCACAGGTTTGGGATGGACATTGTAGTTTGACTCCTTTTTTAGTTTTTGCAAGAGATTACACGTTTTGACATTTTATTAGAACAATACACCAAGGGCCATTTGTTTTAGCTAAAGATCATCCACCGTAACGTTTTATTTTTCAGTGTTATGTTGAATTTGGCTGCATGTGGCAAATGGAAATGTTTTGCATGTGTGTATTGGCTGCTGGGTGTTATATTAAACTCAATTCACGCACCGAGACCACCAAGCATTAAGACCTTAAGCTTCGTTGCAGATAAATTACCAAACCACCTTCAGATATGTAAATGCAAACTAGTGTTGAACTCAAAACATGGGCAAATATTTATAGGTTTCTGAATTTATGAGGTGGTCCTACCTTGGCACTGTCTGACTCGTATCCATGGTGCTGCGAGGGAGGAAATATAAACACAGCAGCGCAGAAATCCTCCCTGCGCTCTTATGTGGATGGATGTTCACAGAGCTGAGGGTCACATCAACCGCCACGTTCACACATGATGTAAAGGGTAAGCTCACAGTAATTATCTGTATAGTGATGGAAAGTAACTGTGAATGTTGTCACAGAGCTGGGACAATATCTATGGGAGTGGGAATAGTAAGCCATCAAAAACTGGAAAGAGGGGGAAAAGGCAGTTTGAGTTAGACAACAAGGGAAAGAGCAGAGATGTAGATAGCTGCACAGGGTTGAAAGTCCTCCCAAAGTAAACAACACAAGCTAACAGCAGCAGCGCACTACAGACCCCAGGGCTGTTGGCCATGGGGCAGCAGCACACTGAAGCCCAGTGGCTCCCTCAGGAGATGCCCGTTGATCTTTCCATGCTGCCTTTCAAAGGCTGGCCCTGCCTCCGGAAGAGATGCGATCTCTGACTCAGCCCTTTAGGGTTTCCTCGACAGACACGGGGGCACATTCTGAGAGAAACAACACTTAACAACATGATAGCTGTCCTGCTTGTGGAGTATTTTCAAGATTTGTAGTTCCATCAAAAGATCTCTAATGCGACGTGTTTATAAATCGTTTACTGGTCTTGGTTATTATTCTTTGATTAAACCGCCCTGTCAGATTCATAGAAAGCAAACATGTGCTCTCAATAGTATGTCCATACGGCCTTCTCAGTTAGCAAACACATCCATGACTATAGAGGAAAGAATAAAGGCACCTCCTCCACCCGGTCATAAATAATATCTTACAGTTGAATCACAGGAAGTTTGTGGCAAACACAAGCGTGAAATAATCCCCCGTCAGAGAGAAATAAAAACTAATCATGAGAAACTCACCCCTCATCCTCTCTGTAATAAAAATACAAAAGTTAAAAATGACACTGACATTTGGAGATTACATCACTATGTATAATCAGCATTACGAACAGAAACAGTGGGAGTGTGTTCAGGGAAGGTTGGGTGTTTGACCAAGTGACACTTCTGGATGAGTGAAGTGCTTTGTCAAGAATGCCAGGAAGTTGTAATAGGAATAGGGCCTAATAGAAGGAGAGGGCTGAAAGAACATCAACATACAAAACTTAAGAGCTTAATTATAATTTAAAAAAGGAAAAGTCAACAGATAACTGGGAACAAAAAGTAATGGGAACGTACATAACTGCAAAAAATGTATATATTATATTATATATTTTTTAAATGAGCAATAGTTTATTATTAAAAAGATTGGTCATTCGGAGTACTATGCTTTTCATACCTTTGTCCCAACTTTAAAAACTGTAAATCTCCCTTTCTAAAACTCACTGGACCTATTTGAATGTAAGTCAACATGAATGCAGGGATTGCTGTCGATGCTGAACAAATACTGACTTGTGAGCCACCATGATTTAATGTTGTACCTTATGTGTAAACTATGAAATGTAAACTGTATTTAATGTGGATGAGTCCCAACATGGTGCTGCATAGATCTAGATGCTGTAGAGAAGTAACACCCATGTATATTTCCCCCTTCAATATGTTAGTGTCTGGCGCTGCACGCACAGTAAATATAGCTCTATTCTGATGTGCAAATAAAGGGATTGAATGCCTGACCTGTCAGTGAAACTGGTCACATTTTGTGTTTGTTTAATCTGTTGTTCCTCCTAAAGGTGCAGACGGCTAGGGACTTTCTGCTATGAACAGTGTGCCAGATGGGCACTCACAAACACACAAACAGGAGGCCATTGTTATAGAGAGTTGTAGACATTTTGTTTTTGAATGACGGCAGTGTGGAACATTTCTGTTGGATCATAAATTCCTAACAAAATCCAATTTGAGTAGAGAGTAGAATACAAAGTTGTCTAACAGAAGACAAAAAAGTAATAACTTACATTTGTTGGATTTGACCCCAACACTTTGAGATTTTGCATAAAAGTATTATTCCAGAGTGATTTTAGGACTGTTTTTGGTTCAGTAATGATGAATTGACAGGAATTTAAACATCCACACAGGTGTTTTGAGTTAACCCGGCTGATTAAACCTCTTTTTAGGACTTTGTGGGCGTGTACAGACTAATTGATTGACATCTCCCTGAGCTTGTAGCACCTCTTTGGGGCAGGCCAACTCTGACCCTTATCATTCCTATTAGATGATTTGTGACCTAATAAATTACCATCAAAACACCTGTTTGGGTGTTTAGAGGCGTTTCACAAAACCATCGCCACAATGTCTTGGATAAAATACTCTAATGGATAAAAGGGCTGTATAATTTATGGGAGATGTTCCTGTCTGTGTAGTTGGGATTTCTGCTTGTTTTACTCTTTTCAGCTAAAGCTGCTAATGCTAACCATCCAGTTCTTATTTACAGCCATGCTAGCTGTACTCTGAAGAAGTTGTGCTTTGAGCTGGATGCACATTTTAGCTTGCTAACAGCATCACAATTACAATGCAGTAGTTTAGCAGCTAATCAGCTTTACCATGCTCTCCTCATTAGTTTAACTTTTTAGCATGCAAACATTTGTTAACTACTGGACACAAAGTATAACTATAAAGTAAAAAAGGTATAAACACTTTCATTGTGCCTGAGGAAAGAAGTCATAGGATTGCCAAAATGATTACAAATCATCATGAGGACATGACTGTGCACCATAATGTTTGGCAATTCCTGAAATGGTTATTAAAAAAATAAATAAAAGTCAGGGTATCACCAATGTAAAGTAAAAATGGACCATGAATGTCTGCTCAAAAATAAACTTTATGGCAATCCATCCATGCATTGCTGAGATACAGCTGTGTTGTTGCTGCATTTCTGAGCTGAGGACAGGTTGTTGAAGAAACTAATTTGAAAATAAATAATAATTTAATGTTATTAAATAATTAACCAACTGACTAGATGGCAGCGCCATGTGGACTGAAACAGGATTTGTTATGAAGTTTAAAATGGAAAATGATCCCTAAACACTCCTTAATATTTAACATTTCACCACAAAACTATCCATGTTTCTCTTCTCTCCTTTCTCTTCAGTGAAATCCTTTTCAACAAAACATTTATTTGAATGCTGTGTGTATTCGCATGAACAAAGTAAACTATGGAATGTGTGGGACAAGCTCTGCACAATTTTACTATCAAATCTATCTACATTTTTTGAAAATGCAATGCTATTTTTGTCATGTAAAGGCTATGCTCTCTATGGAAATGTTATTTAATTACCATGCCCTCTGCCTATAGGGGTCTGGGCCTTGAAACTCAGCCACTAAATCATGTAACTCCTGTAGGTTTCTTTGTCTGCTGCTGCTGTGATCCAAAGGGTATGCTGAGATTGTCGGGGTTCAATGCAAGGTTACAGCTATCTCTCCTCTCCTACTAGCAGTCAGCCTTGTGTCCAAGGCGTTTTGAATTAAGTTCAGCACTCTCGTGTATGGGAACCAGAGCTCGCCGCCAAATGCAATACTTCCCGGAGTATTTCTGTCAGAACCCCAGCCTTTGAAAACAAAACACAGTGAAATCACAGCAGGACTGTTTTAATCAATTAAACATATGTCAACAAACAATATGCTAATCATTATGGTGACAGGGAGAGCAAATTCTCTCCTGATGATGTATGATCAGAAGTCAATCCTGATTGTGAGAGAACTCGCAGACAAAAGTTCAGTTTTGATGGGAAATATACTGTGCTGATTAAATGTTGTGAAAACTGGTGGCATAAATCTTTTCTCTCAATATTTTATTGCCATTATCTCTTTTGTTCAGGTCTAGTGTGAAAAGGAAAAAACAATAGAAAGCATTGAGGACTGGTGATTTTTGCCTTGACTCCATGACGCTCTTGTATGTCTGTGTGTCTGTGTTTGACTTGGATAAAGAGGTAGGGGGGGACCTTCCTGGCTGATATCAGTTATTCAGCTCAAAGTCTCCAGACCTCTGGAGAATCTGCTTGTAGTCATTGTGTTAGTCATTAGGGTCAACTCAAAGTTTGGTGGGATTTTACCAGCCCCATCCTACCCAGAATGCATCTCAGACATTTGGACCTTAGAATGAGGCATGCTTGTGTAAACATCATTTGGCTCACTGAAGACTTGAATACATTTTCATCTAGAGCTCAAGATAGCAGCACAGCCGTGCAGTGAAGACGACCAGTGAGGCTCCTCTTCTCCTGCCTGCTGATTGGGCGACTGGTCACTGAGACTTCTTACGAACACTGATAACCAAATGAGCATCTAACATAAATAACAGTCTGACACATGGCAGGCTCCCAAACAGAAAATACAGCAGCTCATTAAAATCCAACCAGCCATTGA